GACAGTGTGGTCTTATTATTTTTGGGCTCCACATGTGGTAAACGTACTTATTCTTATGTCACACTTTAAGAATATCTATAATACACAAAAAAGTCAAAATACCATTCAGCTTTAAGATTACGTTATCGTTTGGCTAAGAAATTAATTGGATATTTGTTTGTACCTCACAAATACCTCTGATAAACTATAAAATAAACAGATGATTGTATTTTTAAACAGTTTACTTTGTTTTGTCTCTATGCATAAATACATTTCTGGTTTTTTCTTATTTTTATGCATAACAAGGCAGCTATTTGACCACAATCGCACCTGATGTTAAGTGGGATGCAGTCTAGGACGGTACATATCTGCCCTGTAAGTGCCTATTCACTCTCGCCTTGAAAATGCCCGGATTATAGTAGGTATATACTGGTCTTACCGTATACCTAAAAAACTTGACTTACTTATTAACTTTTTTATTTGCGAACGGTACTTACTTGTTATTATGCCAATTTATGTACTCGTAAATATTATTGGAAACTACACAAGCGATCGTGTTCCTTATGCTTCTGTCATTAAATCGTTACAGACATTTGTTTTAATATGTGTAAAAAATAATAAAACATATCCTACATAGATAAAAATAACTAATAATAAGATAATATCACTCGTAAAGTATAGAAAATATATTTAACACAAAATAAAAAGAAACTAGAGTTGTTACGAATCTCTATCGATAAAATTTAATTCCTGAATTTCAGTTTTTTTAATAAATTAATACTTAAATAAAAAAAGTCTAACTTCAGTTTCTTCATTAGTATTTCATTGCAGAATAGACTTCAATAAAATTAGTTAATAAAAAGCTAGGTTTTGATTAAAAATTGATTACCAGAACGAAATTGAGGGAACATTATCACAATAATAAAAAAGATATTACGTTTATTAGCTCAGCAATAAGTGCCAAAATTAATCGAGCACACATGACAGATCGGCTTATCAAATGTCACCGCGGGCAAGGCTGCGCGTGCGCTTCCGTACAAAATGAAGGAATAGCCTTTACAACTACATATTATATGACTATAAGTAATAGTATGTATGTATATAATATAGAGAAAAAAATATATTAATACAAGACGTGTAGTAATACTTTTTTTAAATATTATAAAATATTAAGACAAGTCTATAAATTCTAGATCAAATTTTCCAATTTAGATGGCATTGGAATGGAATCATAATCATACAACGCAAACGTAAGAGATTCCTAATATAACAGAAAAGTGATGAATAAGCAATAATATTAATACGCTAATATTTTATTATTTTATTACAGTTCTTTACAATCTAATAATCTTTAACAAAGAGTCAAAGCAAATTAAAATTTAGAGTCAAGTAAAAACGCATGAAAATGTATTCAGAAGTTGACCAATAGTCTGGTCAAATTAGACATGAACCTGCAATAATTCCCATACAGCTGAAAATTGCTACGAATGTACAACAGACCCATTAAGTAAACACAACAATTTCTCTTTTTTATCAAGTTATATTACCGTTAATCATAATTTTAGTAGCCATTGTTGTAATTTAGTTCAATCGATAGTGCTCACGCGCCGGCGCACGAGCGATACCTTATCGAGTTTCGATGCAAGACGCGCTGTTTATCGAAATGTATTTAACTTGGTAAAAACAAGAATTGTTTTTGAATATTTAAACACTGGCTTTTTCCTGTGAAACTGTAAAAACAAGGCATGACACTGTTTACGGGACTAATACCCGGACTAAGACCCCTATGAAAACAAAATTCATATTATGTGTTATCATCATAGGGGTCACTTAAAAATTAAGGAATAATGGTGAAAACGGGCATAATTCTAATTTTCTCTTTGCTAACACTGTAGTTTTTATGCCAGGATCTACAGTTTGGCCTCGAATGAAAGTATCAATGATAATACTGATCCTCAACAAATATAATAATGTAAAAATTCTGTAAAAATAAATCATTAAATTTGCAAAAAAACTGTCAGATGCAACAACTACTAAAAATAAACTACCAGGTGGGCAACAATTTGAAATATTGATTGCCAATGCAAAGTCACAAGTAATGCCTACAAATACAATGTTAAAAACTAGGCAAATACAAACGCAGAAACACAAGTAACTTCTGGCTGATATTGGAAATGTCAAAAAAACTAATTTGCATGTTCCAATGTCAAACCCACGACAAACGCTAAATTGTGGAATAACAAATAAACGGTTACATTTCGCTTCCATTTTGAGCAGCACGAGTATTATTTAACAACTGAAGTAGTCTGTTTATCAACAAAGTAACAGCTGTAACAAAACCGCATGTTTTACGGTAGTTTGGTATTTATGCATATTTTTACTTTAGCGTCATCTTACTTGAGGCATAGATTCAAGTATAGCTTTTGACAATGTAATGGAAGAACAATTTAAAAGAAGAAACACTTCGGAATTGAATTAGAATCATTACCAAAATAATACGATTGAATTCGTGATCCATTAATTATAGAAATTGATAATTAACATACTTGTTAGGAGTTCTCCAGGGTGTAATACTAAGACCGACATTGCAATTTTTTGATAGCAGGGATATAAAATGGCTGTCTTTGTCTTTATTGAGACATGTCTTCAATTAACCTCTAAGGTGAGCCGCATATATCTGAGTAAAATATGGGCATAATAACGATTTCTTTAATGAAGACCAGTCCGCCATTATTGTCGCTGACAACGCGCCAAGGGTACATTCCTTTTTATTTAAATAAACAGAGCAAAACGTGTCACATCACATAAATTAATAAACTCCAATGCAACCCACTTACGAATTTACACAATTAAATCATAAAACGGGTGATATTATCAATTACTCTCGTTTTTATCACTCAATATATTAATTTACGATGTCGATAAATACGTTATTGTATCGATACGAGAACAGTGAAACTTGAACTGAATTGACAGGTCACGATAACTCTGGCCGGCGCTTGCGCAGCCGCGTCTCAATTCATTCGAAAACCGCCTAAAAATAACGAGAAAATGAAGAAAAAGACTTAGGCTCGCATTCGTAAACGGATCCATACTTTGACTAATTGAGAGTCTTGAGCCTTAATAAATGAATCGGTGGATGCGGTCTGGCATTTTGTTTAATAGGATGCTTAATTAAACGAGGACTTAATAAAGTGGCCATTTTTCTTGTTTTGGTTCGGAATGAAATATTACTACTGTACGGGGGATTATTACTTCCGAATAATTTCGTTTTAAGCTATTCGCGAGATGGGCTCAGGATATTTTGCTTGTTAAAATAAATCATCCGTCTTACCATACTCTTAATTGTTGCAGTATCTTACCTTAGCGTGTATTATCACATCTAGGTCTTACTCACGGTTGATTTCAAAATGACTAATATTTATCTTCTTTTAAAACGCATGAAGCCTATAAACAATACCAATTAATTTCTATCAAATTGTATAGCAAATGAATAACAAACAAAGATAAGTAATTAATTAAATTGTAGACGCCTATGACTCAAGTTTAAACGGTCGGAGTTAACACGCAAACGTAAATATTTGTCTTGTGCGTGATACAAACTTGTGACCGCTGGGTTTGATCGAAATACAAATGCACCACACCTAACAAATTATTGAGTTAAAGTAGTAAAGACCTGTAGTGAAAAGACATTCAAACATACTAATCCTACCTTCCAAATAAATTCACGAATATTGTAATTCAATTTACTAGAATTTAGAACTAGGAAGGTCGACTCCAAATAAAGTATGAAAGGACAAAGAGGAGAAGAATATTGAAATTAAAATATTGAGAGACTTGAATCTAAGCGCGCGTTTGAATTGTATTGAGATTCGTTTCAGAATTTGAAAACGTAAACGAGTCTAAAACCAATTCTGGTTTATAAATACGAGTGTTAGGGCACTCCGTTACTGGAATAGCTGACACCCTAATGCTTCCTTTGGCATACCGAACCCTTGAAAACAGATATCTCTATATTTAACACTTAAAGAAAACTATATTTTGGGTCATCTTCCTTATCAATAACTAGCTGTGCCCGCAACTTCGAATAGAAAGAAATAGTTTGAATAATAGGTACTTCCCGTTTTTGCAACATTTTTCTTTACTACTCCGCACCTAATATTGGTTTTAGATGTTGTAAAGCCTAAAGCCTTCCTCGATAAATGGACACAAAAATGATTTTTTAAATCGGACCAGTAGTTCCTGAAATTGGCGCGTTCTAAGCAAGCAAACAAACTCTTCAGCTTTAAAATATTAGTAAAGTACAGTGATTAATTTAAACTATGGATGATTACTTATTCAGTCGCCAATTTACTCACAACGTGCCTTCCGTAAAAAGTGACTGAACTGACAAAAAGACAAAAATGTTTTCCAGAACTTGTCATGCTACCTTTGTAAATAAAATTAAGGAGGCACATGTAATTATTTAAACACGTAGTTAATTTAATAAGTCTATAATAATAGACTGTTAATTCCGTACATTCCTTATAGAAAACGTGTGGGTTGCAGACAAGTTGTATTTGTGATTTAGTCATAATTCAAAACTTAAATGATTTGGCGTCAGCCGCAATAAATATCTTAAATGTCGTCATTACTCATAGGTATGACAGTTCACATAATATTACTAAGCTACTAGCCTTTTAAAACGTATCCTTTTTAATAATTTAGTTGCGCTAATATTTATTTTGTGACCTTACATTTAAATTTCAAAATTGCATGAATATTCAGCAAAAACATCGATCTTTACATTTGCAAATTGCAATTTGGAGTCTAGCATTTATAAATTATACATCGACAGCATTGCCTAACAACACTATCGATTTTTTAAACAGTAGTGTCACACCTAATCGATGGATTATCGAGATAACTAATTCAACGTCACTATTTTTGACAAAATACAATACCGCGCACACCCTAAACTCATGCATCATTTTACCCAAAAAAGCAAATGTAGATTAATTAAAGGAGAAAAAAAAGGGTACCTTTGTAATTAAAAAGAACGGTTCGGTCCACTGTGGCAGGCACCAGAAATCCTTTATCGGAAAAAAACACAACACTTCGGCTACGTTATCGAGCGAGCGATACTAGCGAAACGTGCGCTCGACGCGGCGGCTGTGGGTCGACTGGCCGCGGTCGTCGCGGGCCNTGGCACCACTGGTCGCGGGCCGTGCGCGCGCGCATGCTAGCCTTGCAGGACGCATACAGATTTATCTCGCAAAGCAACTTTTCGAGGATCGCAGTTTAGATAGGCCGGGATGGGGAGTTTATTTAATTTGATGTTTCGCAAAACGGTTAATTAATTTGCTGATAGCTATGTTTTGGGTTATTGTTCACCGGTATGCTATGTGATATGTAACTAATTTTTCGCAATTTAAGCTATTGCAATCCGAACTATTCTTACTTTAAGTTATTTTTAGATGCTTAACATTGACTATTTATTCAGTTTGTATTAATTTATAAGAATAAGAATAAGAATAAGATTAAGAAAAACTTTATTTGACACAAAAGAAAACAAAAACAGAACAAAGGGACTTAATTTCATAATTTATGTTACCTAGTCAAATCTAGATTCTCTATTAAATATTTTTTTCTCTTTTAAATAAATTTTATGTCTAACAGGAATGTAAATAAATAAAAAGTTACATCCGCAAGTTAATACATTGATTTACATTATATATAATATTGGTAATTAAAGAAATTATTATGTGATAATTGTAAGATTATGTCGTGTCGTTACAACTTGTGGGTAACGCGTTACATACGACTTGTAACTAATAATTAGGGTTACCCCGAAACAGTCAATATCTAGAACTAGAATATGAACTACTTAAAAAATAACGGCAATTAATTGTAAAACACGAAAACACAAGGAAAACAGTAGTTTTAATACCACTAAAAGTAATTTTAAGTTCCATAATAGTTATGTTTTCATTTCAGCTTGGTAGTCCACTACCTACTGGATCATTATAGAGTACAATCTTCGGAATTTTTTTATCCGGCCAGCCTGCCACGTTTTTAAAGGCGTCGGTCCATCGAACAGGGGAATTACTATCTACTCATTTACTTCACACCCCATCACATCACGTACCTCAATCTTCAGTGGGTTTAACTCAGGAACCTTTCTTTATTAACTTATTTGCCTGCGGCTTCACCCGCGTGAAATTTAGTGTCACAGATCGGCATAAATTATAGCCTATATGTTAATCTGGGTTACAAACGATAATACTGTAAAGTTTCAACAAAATCCTTTCTGTAGTTTTTGCGTGAATGAGTAACAAACATCCAGACATCCAAACTTTCGCATAATAATATTAGGATTAGGATCGTACGCTATACGGTTATATCTAGAGATGACTGACTTATCATTTCAACAATGCTAACCCAGTGGCTACGAGGCACATAGCTCGTAGAGGAGAGATGATGGCCGTCAGGGCCGAAAGGTTCTCGAGTGGCGACCACGGGCCGGAAGACGTAGCGTGGGCAGGCCTCCCAGTAGGTGGACTGACGATCTGGTGAAGGTCTCGAGATGAACCTGGATGCAGGCAGCGCAGGGCCGGTCGTAATTGAAATCCTTGGGGAGGCTTTTGTCCAGCAGTGGACGTCATTTGGCTGAAATGATGATGGTGAATGCTAACCCAGCTGGTGTTAGACGTGAAGAGCTACCATAGTCATCTGACATCAGCGCCGGCCTACCAACCCTATCCACCTGCATAGCGTGTGTGACATAACTGAGTTATGTGCCGTTACTATACTACATGGGTTCCTGACTTCGCTCATGTCGAACAATAACATAATAAGCTTTTCACATCGCTGTAGTGCAGGGGATAGTGCCCCACTAAGCGCGACCAGAGGGACCCGACTGGTTTTTAGTGGGTAGGCCCTGCTCTTCTAGCAGGGAGAGCCCCACATAACCCATTGGCCCCCCCGAGCCATTGGGTATGCAACACAATGCATTTTCCTTTTTGAGTTCACAATAGCTGCTCTATGCGTGATTTGTTATTGTTAAGATTATTAGAATATGGTTATAGATATAAGTTTAGATTAAGCATTATTTAACAAAGTATGTTATACTATCGCATTAGGCGTCAACCTGTAATGATAGTTATAAGTGTGGAAAATAAATAAATAAATAAACTTACTACTTACTTTTACGTTGTTAAAAATCAAATTCTTTATTAGTATGTAGGCTCTTTTCAGGGCACGCGTCCTAAATGATATCCTATCCCACTATCAACTTCGGGACAGCATACTGACTCACTGAAGAAACTCAGACAGTGTCAGTCAGACGTCAGTGTTATACCACTGACGTTCTTTCTTTCATGTTTTATGCCTTAAACTTTCTGCAGCCTGTCCCTCGGTCTATTTCCAACGAACACCTATCTCTGCGTGTTAACAAGCCGCTCTTACCATTGTTACTGATTAGAAACGCCTGTATCGTGCGAAAATCTAAAGAAAATCGATTCAAAGTTTTTACAACCACTTATGAAATATGAAACGTTATCCCACTGGTATCTTGTTAGCTATTAGCTACAGAATATCTATTTTATTTAACCTCAAAGACTTTTACATTGTTTAATAAAGTTGGATGCCCATGTAGTCTACTCATCTATTTTTTAAATATAACATTAATTTCAAATTTAGGTTGAGTAGTGACTAATTGCTAAGGAATTTTAGTAACCACTCATCTATTTTTCAGGGGGGCACGGATTAGTGTCATAAAGTATGTAGATTTATAATTTCTAAGATTTTCTGGGGTGGGTACTAGACCATTCTGGGGTGGGCACTAATACCATTCTGGGGTGGGCACTAGACCATTCTGGGGTAGGCATTAGACCATTACGGGGTGTGCTGTGCACGCCAATTCGATTAATTATAGGGAAATAGCAACATTTAGCCATTTCCACGCTTTGTATTTTATCAAAGTATAGACAGAGTTGTCTATTAATTCTACTGTACATATAAATACGAGTAAATATACGACGTAATAAAACCTTTAATCAAACCTAAACTATTAACAATTCAATGAGGCGTAATAACTGGTCGTGGGCGTCCAGTAAAAAATTTACTGAATCACATGTTTGTACTTTTCAAGAATCTGACCAGTGGGTGAAAACGTATAATTTAGCAATAAATTAATGATTTAAATTACCTTTGTCCTACTCCTAGTACAAACGACAGCCATCATATTATAACATTTTCATTGCAATTTAGCCCTTGTTATAAGGGCCTAAGATGCCACAGTTTAGTTTTATTATGTGTTGTCTACTGTACCTACTAGGAAGTGGGTAGTTGCTGAAAGCCAATAACGACATCGTTTATCATGATTCAATATAGATAATAGCAGTACCTATGTGTCCACTTGTCACATAATATAGTACAAATAAATACAGAAGGATTTAAATTCAGATTAGTTCCAAGCAATACATGTTATTGAATAAGTGAACTGAATCTAGAACTTAATAAAGGTAGCAGGAAGGTGCTGGATGCAGGCCGCTACCAACCGTGCGATGTGGAAGTCATTGGGGGAGGCCTATGTTCAGCAGTGGACGTCCTGTGGCTGAAATGATGATGATGATGAGATCTAGATACTAAAATAGTAAGACACGGGTCTTAACGCGACGTTTATTAATGAGTTACATTATGTACTCACGGCTTGACGTTTCGGCTGCGATGCTGCAGCCGTGGTCACAAGCATCTAGATATCCTGGGTTTGGTTTCTAGACAGATCAGCAGCACAAGACTTTTTAACAAACCTTTTTTTTACGCCACGCTTCTTGTCTTCCTAGTACAAAATAAGTACACCGTTTGAATTTTAGAATCGCTTGGCTTATGCCCGTTTTGACCATCAATCCCTAATTCGTTAATTTACAACTAAAAATTCAAAATTTCATTACTAGGTAACCGAAAACTATCCACTATCATAAAATATGCAGGTCAAACAGCTTTGATTATAATATTTACTGAGTAAATGACCTTTTGCTTTTATTTTTTAACAAACATACTACAAGAAAAGTGACTGCTCAATTCCCCAGCTAATATTGAGCTAATAAATATTTCTAGAACAAACTCCGCACAGTTGACGGTTGTCACGCAGCGATACAATTTTCGCGGAAATGCCTCGCGTGTCACGGGGCGGGCGGCGCCAAAGGCCCTACTACGAACTATACTCGATAGTCTAAACTCTATGGTATTATTGATGTAATTTATGTGTTTGTTAACATTTTTATAATAGAAACTTCTGATTCTGAGGGTTCTGTTACTAATAAAATGAGAAATAATTACATTTGTACAATAATGAGAGGAAACAATACGTAATGTTGTTAATTTTATCGCCGGTGCCAGAAAATGTCGACATAAAAATAACAATATTAGTCTTTTCTTTCGAGTTAATATTTTCTCTTCTTGCTAGCATTAATTATTTATTTATTTAACTTTTAATGCCAAATTAATGCCATAAGGCATTCACAACCAATTTACCTTCGAGTTAAGCAGGGATTATGATGTGGGAAAACTCAGTAAAACCACAGAATAATANGAACATTTCTGAGCTCTTGATGGACATCGATTCCAGTCAACGATTTCATAGAGAGGTTGACATGAAAAAACGGTCTTCCCTCTGCGATGTGCAATGGCGCTGTTCAGAACTTGGTCTCGGGATAAAGCCACTAGTCTTCCGAAAGCGTCTTGAAACTTTCGAAACCCAGGACTGGCTTATGTGGCGCTGACGTGCGATAGCCCGCTGGCTGAGCCTTGCTTGCAATAGTGCAACGATTTGTGCTGCTTCTGAAGGTGTAGAATCCCAGGTAAAGTGTCAAAAGAAGCGGAGATGTGTATGAATCAACGTGTGAAAGCAAAAATCTAAAAACGCGTGCTTTTATAGAAGATAAATAGGCCGCACCTCGCGACGTATCAACAGTTCAAACATGTCTTTTTCGTTACTTCTTCACATCAGCCGGGATATCTTTTTAAATACTAGTGTGATTTAAATGAATTTGGTATCAATTTAAAGATAAAAGTTTAATCTTTAAAATGGTGCCACTTTTTTTGTTACTAACAAATTCGTTAGTACACAAGTTCGCGTGGAAACAACTTCATGTAAGTGATTCCATAGTTTTGCTCGCGAGTGTAGTTTGCATA